AGGTGCTGACATCTTTGGAGTCATTCCCATCTGCAGGCCGTGTGGTATCACGTATCTCTAGCACTACCATGTTCTTTCTGGTTACTGCTCAAGTAATAATAACTAGCTCTCTTCCCTTGGCTTGCATAAAGCATGTATTACCAATACTTAGATGAAGCTACCATTTATTAATTCATCCACAGACATTCGCACATTCCTGGCAGTTTCAAACATTCCTTGCCCATATGCTGAAATACTTTTTCCAGCCCAAGTTCTAGAAGAGCTATAACTTTTTGCATAAAGCTTATTTAGAAGAAAAAGTAGATTTTCAGAAACTTGAGTACTATGTTTTTGCATAAAAACTAAAAAAATTTTCTACTGAACAATGAAATCACTGTGAACACTCCCACCCCACTTGCTATAGGCAAGCAAAAAGTACACTGATATGTAAAAAAAATATTTAAACAGATATATTTATATTCTACCACAGAGCTTACTACAGTAATTCAGGTTTCCTTTTCATTCTGAAAGGTTTTAAAGCACTGCTGGAATTACTAAATGTGCAGTAAATCTGTATATGAAACATTTGAAATAGGGTGGTTACTAAATATTTGCACATACATGGATGACATTACCAGGCAATATTTTGCCTCTCTATTGTATGACACACATCAGATTTTCTCTTTTAACTTTCGTAATGGAAAAAATGGTAAAAAATCCCAAACCAGAAAAAGCTGAATTACCCTATTATTATTATTATTATTATTATTATTATTATTATTATATTCTATATTATTATTATAATTTCAGGCTTATTTCAGCCCTTATTTCTGATAAGGAATATACAAATATTATTTTCTTCTTCAGCATTTCATTATTTCAGGAAAAGAAAGCACTTGTTTACCTACGTAGGAAGAAGAGTAGCACCCCAACATGTTGTATAATATGTCTAAAATAAATATAATAATTTGTGTCCATATTTAAAAGATCACAAAACCTGAAAATATATTTACTTGCATTTTAACTAAATACAGGTCTATTTACCACTGTTATTAGGGTACTATTCCAAAAGAATGAAATAATTTTTTGGTGAATTAAATTATTACTATGCTTGTCATATCTGATAGGTCAACGTAGCCAAATTCTGTGAAATATGAATAAAGGTTATATACAGAAATACTTCAAACTTATGACCTTCCTCTAACATTCAAGTGATACCGCCAAATCAATACAGGACCTTCAAAAAGAAAATTAATACAATCAGCTGGAAATTCTAGTGACAGATCATAATGTGCAATGAAAAAGGGACACCATGCATAACATTAGACACAAAAGGAAAGACAAACGAATGCGATATTCAGTCACTTAGTGCAAAGGAAGGCACCGAAGCTAACAGTTGGAAGAGTCTTAGATAAACAGAACTGAATAAATCGTATTAATGCTTCTGAAGGCTAACATGCAATTTCTGTATACAGTCATGGCTTCCTACAGAGTAATCCTCTATTTCCTCGGGCAGTATCAAGGTATGGATAGTGGACATAGGTGAGAATTGCCCCCAAGGGCTAAACTGCACAGTATGTCAGTAGACTACTTTGAAATCTTGGAAAACTTAACATATAAAAATACAGGCCCTGCTGTTTTAACAGGAATATTACCTTTCTTCCATGGGTACCCTTAAGACTAAAGCTGCACACAGTTCTGTTTAATCACTTCTGGTCACTGTAATTTAAAGCCCTATTAAGCATTACTGACCATTACAAAGGTGAAAGAAAATGCCCCAAACTACTCTCGCTATTTCATTTTAAGAAAGAGATCTCAATCAGTCCTACTCACTACAAAGCTATTTAAGTGTCTGTTAGATCTTCATGCAGAGAAGACTTTCCTACCTCTGCTGACAGCTACGACAGCGAGCAGTCACAGTTAGAGATGACAGGGCTGACTCCCAGACAAAGCAACCACAGAACATTAAAAAAAATGAGGCCTGGTTTAGAAAAATTCCATGGAAGCTGTGTGCACCCCCTTTCCACTAGCTCCCCGGCACTCTCCAGTATTCATAAATAGCTGCACATGGGAAGGACACTGCTGTTGCCCGTGTGCTGTGAATCGCTCTAACACGCTCGGGAACTCTGAGAGGACCAGATCTCCCACTTCCAGGCTTCCTTGCATCATCAACTCATTGAAAAGGAGCCGGAGCACAGCGGAGGACTGGGTCATACACTCTGACTACTGCCCAGAAAACGCAGCCATCTAATGTTTCAAGCTGGCAAAAATAAACACGAATGCTTACAGAATGACATCTTTTCTACACTGTCCCAAGCAGGCTCTACTGGTCCATTTTCAGTTTAACATGTGTTAATACCCCTTGGCAATGGGAAGATTCAGCTATATATAGCTCCACTGTGACTCTCAACAGTTGAGACCCACAGTCAAATCTACCAGCAGATAAATATACTGGCTTTAACAGGCATTGCTCGGAATATATTCTCTTCCCACTCAGCTGTTGCTGAAAAATTCTATAGATACTTTTATAAAGCATGTTTTCAAGTATATTAAAGTGCCCTGTATTGCAGTCATTTGTTGCCTCTGTCCTGGACAGATAACTATAAACCAAATCTGAGACAGAAAGGAAATAAAGAGACCAGTGATTATGTTTCAGCAGAGCACTTTAACACATGCTTAAAATAAAACTTTGAAGTAATTTCAAAACTTCACAAACTCCACCAAGTCAGAATTCTGAACTGGGGTTTACTGTTTTACTCCAAGTCCCTGTGAAGACACTAGGGGAAAAAAATTCCTTGATTTTAACACACAGTGGAACCAATCTCTTCTGAACGTTAATCATGATCGAATGGCAACCAAGACTCTTAAGAAATTTAACATATTCCTGCTAAAAGGTCTGGTTTTACCGCTACAAAAACACAAAGCATGAAATAAGACAAAACACAGCATAAACTCTAAGACGAATCACATTATTTTAACAAATTGCCTCTACCACACATTCCTCTATTATTTCTTCTGATCTTCTCCCTTTCCTGTTTCCTCAAATTTCAGAATTAGGCTTCTGAGAAAAAACATAATCAGGCAAATATGAGTAAGTTTTCAAGAAGTAGCATTTCAAGGGTCAGTATATAAAGCTACATGATTATGTGGCTTGCTTTAGATATAAATGTTCCCCTAGAAGGAAGATCATGTTTTTTGACCCTGGAAATGAGGCTTTCACTCATGCTTAAAATAATTTTAGGACCACTATAAGAACACTAGCATTTCTCTCTACTAAGAAAAGGGTTCCATAAAGATGTATAGAATAAGAAATAAATTAACAGTGTAGAAGTTCATTTAAAGTTATGAAATGAAACTGTAACTAAATACATTCTCTCATAGCTCACCGAGTCAAATGCAATCAGATGTTACTGCAGCACTTAATTTTTAATGCTGAAATTACTACCTGCTTTGTGATACGTCACGTGGTCACTAGCAATACTAAAATATTTAACAAGAAGCATTGAAACTATACACAAAATTGTTTTATATGAATTCTCCATGATAATCCCATTTTTTTTTGTTCTAAGGCCAAATAATTTACAATTGTAAGGCATGTGAAACACTCCAGATGTTCACTTTGAGGCAAAAATTTGTATACAGTTCTTAAGTCATTAAAAGTCTATAGTTAATGATGCTTTCTTCTATTTTAGCTTTGTCAAAAGATTTGTGCAGTTACAGCAACTATTAAATCCTCCTACTATGATACACAGTAATAATGTCTCTAAATTCAGTGCTAACTTTGTCAAGCCTATTACATCTATCTCAAAGCAGCAACAGCACAGTTACCGTGCCCATATACTGTAAACTCAAGTATCTGATAAGTTCACAGATCCCAGGCCACTCAAACGCAAAAAGGAGACTTTTCAAAAAGCACACCTTCAGTTCCACAAATGGTATGCCTCTTCCTTAGAGGACTGTAGAGGATAAGCACAAAATTCAACTCCACCAAATCACTGAAACATCAAATCATCACCAATGGTTCCATAAAAAAAAAGAAATAAAGCAGATGCTTTCAAAAGAGAAAGATAGCAAGGTAGTAGCAGGTATGAAACATGATGTCTGATGTTTTCACACTAAGCATATCTAAATTTTCCCACATCTTTGGTATTTACACCTAGAGCAGACAAACCAAATAATGTAAGTTACAATTGTTTACAAAAAGAAGGAAAAAAAATAAATCAGACCACAAAACACAACTTGGCAGTATTTCATGTCTGATAAATTTCACAGTTGGAACTGAAGGAAAGGAAGACTCTAATATGACCAGCTGTAGTACCTATAATCATCAGAGAAGATTCCTGATGTCAGCAACAAGCCAATGTGCCTCGAAGCTGGCTAAAAGGCTAAACTCCACAGCCTTATTTATTTAAACACTAGGTGTAGTTTAGCACACTAAGCAGCAATTAGCAAAGCTGCAAAGCTACTTGAATTCTAAGGCCAAGGGCAATTTTCTGCAGAATTTATTTTTCTCATTCTAGTACCATTGAGCCTGAGTTTCTAGATGATACTCCAATACAACCAAACAAGACAAAGAAGGTTCAGTCACTCTAACCTGCAATCCCAAATACTGCTGTGTGGCACAAAGAGGACTAGCAGGGATAGCCATGACTGGCTCAGAGACCTTGCAGGGGAAACACACAAGGAAATAATTGGGACTTCTATTCCATACTTCTGTTTAAACCAAAGTGCTGGCTGTTAAATGCTGACAGGAACTAGTCTGGAGTCATCTGACTCCCATTTCTGCACTTTCCCATAAAAGCCAATATAGGGCAGTAGCAAAACACAAATTCCGATTATTTCCATAAAGCACATTGTTTGTAGTCTTGATTAAGGATGGCAGCTGCAGTGATTTTTAATACAGTTTTCAAGCACTTATTTAAAGTGAAAAAGAATAATGAAATAACTCTCCTTGAAGTATCAAAATACTTGAACCAATGCTGTTTGTAAACAAAATGAAGAAGCTATAAATAACTACTCACCAGATTCTCTTCAAACCACTCCCGTATACACACTACTGTGGCCCCTGGAATTTGATTTCGCAGTGCTTCTTTCTCTTGAGGATCCTCTAGCATTTCCAATGCCATCTTTAGATCTTCCAGCAGATGCAAAATTTGGAATGTGCCCAAGTATACTGATGGAGCAGGTGACACAATATCGTAACCACCATTAGCATACTCTGTAGCTGATTTTGTACCTAAAACAAGTAAAACCAGGAGAGACAATAATGTTATATGATTGTTTTGTAAGTGACAAATATACAGGCACTACACACCACAGCATTCAGACTTCAGATGCTGACAAGTATCAGTATTTCAGCCTTAGAAAAACTTGAGTCAGTCTCCAGATAAATAACGAACACCAGAGAATTAAATGTGAGAGGTATGTACAAGCATATTAAAGAATTCTGACCTAGAAAACATTTGCAATGTTTGTTAAATTATAGATGCCAAAACCTTACCACGAATGACCTGTAATTTTCCATGGTTACCATGAGATGTCACTAACTTCTCAGCTACATAGTTAGAAGTCCCCACACAGAAGAGCAGTGTTAAGAAATGTAAGGAAGATTGATGCAGTCCTTTAACAAGAAACTTAGATGAAAACAGATCGTGTTACCAGAATCAGAAAAATATGTGACCTTGAGCAGGTTTAAAACCCTCCCACAGAGAACAAAACTCAAAAAGTTAGCAATAAAAATGGCTAATGAAACTTTGCTAGCTCTCTAAATTACAAAAAGCTCTCTAAACTATACCTCCCTCCTGCCATATTATTTTGTCAAGAACAATAAACACAGCAACAAATATCTTACTCGATGAAAGAATTATAAATAATACAAATCCTAATATCGCTGAATCTTTTTGTCTTGATATCCTGTGTTTCAATGAGATGCACACTAAAATGAGCTCTCTTTTTTCAGTCCTGAATTTTAGACCTTGATTTCATTTAATATCCTTTTGTTTCTTTAAGAACTATTCAGATGGAAAACTTCTATTCGCTCTACTTTTTACAATTTTTATTTACTATTCATTGCCTCATGTACAATCAGGTCTTCATTCCTGTTCTCTCTAGCATAAGCAATCACATTCTCCCCCTTTATTTGACTTCATGGGAGATTTTTTTGAGGCTTTTAATCATTCATACTGTACTTCTCCCAATCCTTTTTATTTTGTAACATTATGTTGGATCCACAGAACATCTAGTATTCCTTAGAAGACTGTATCATGGATCTACACAAGGGGATTACAATAAACACCATACTATTCTTTATTTTATTCCTATGTTTAACATCATTTTCATCTCAGTTATGAAAGGAACAGAAATCTTCACTAAGTCTTTGACAATTATTTGCTAAGCTTTTATCCTGAGCAGATGTATCTAATTTGAAACCTAGATGTACATAAGTAATTCAAATTTTCTACCTGAACACACACTGCTTTGCACTAATCAATGTCGGTTTGCCTGCTATGGCTATTTATCTACCACGATTTGGACATTACAAACTATGTTTGAGCCCAATGGTTCATTTTATTTTCAGCCTGATATACAATACTTCAGTACACTGACTCAAAGTTCTGGTACCCTGAAATGCCTTCTGAACCCAGATTAGTTTTTAACCAGAATGCTAATTGATCATTTAATCTTAATAACTGTTTCCCATCTCAGTTTTTGTGTCTCATTTTGTGAATGCTTTACTCAAAGCTTTTGGGAAAATTCTAAATAGTATTAACCAGGTTTTCTTCAAACACTGCTTCAATGACGCAAAGAACACTGTCAGATCCATTATCTTTGAAAAAAAATTGTGTGGTTTCAATTCTACTGTACGATTCATATGTTATTTTGTTTGCTTTAAACAATGCAAAATCATACATAGAAATTTCCAAAGTTTTACAAGGCTCAGTAGTAGGGATATTTTTGTGTTTCACAGTCTTAACCTCTTCTCAAACTCGGAATATTCCCTGTTTGATCCTGTTGACTTCCGCTGCTTCTGAGCTTATTTTAATGCCTCAAGTGTGAGATCTCAATTTCTGGCTACGACCAGGTCCAAGATAAAGTTTCTTCAATATCCGGTGCAACAAGACTGCTACACAAGACAACTTCACCTCATAAATCAACCTTGTCCTCCTGAATTATTTCCTTTTGAGGAGATGATTGACTAACTGTTTTGCTGGATTTGAGTACTCTAATCACTAAAAGATATTTCTTTTAAATATTTCTATACTCTCAGCTACTTAAATCAGCTTAGTTGTTTCTGCTTATGTACTTCCTAATGAAGATTAATATTAAACACCAGCAACTAAAAATAGCAGATCTCCAAATTCTGTAAGAGCCATTTGGATCATATAACCTCTTAAATCTTGTCATTCGGCCAGAGTGGCTCACTACTTACTTTCCAAAAGAGATATGCACACAAACTAAAATCTGGCACTGTCTTCTCAAGTATCACTGATGGCACTTTTAAAGATGTGGCTTCCTTGGTTATTGTGATGTTCAGACTTTTAAACTAATTTTTTCACTCTTTCTTTTGGAAAACTCCCTGCTATTTTTTTCTGTCTTTAATCTCTTTAATCGTAGCAAGAAAAAGAACTGTCACCCTTCAGAAATTCAGTTCTAGAAAGGAAAAAATTCTCAAGTGCTGGAGCACAGGAGACCAGGCACACTCCATATGTATGCTTTAGTTACCCCAAGCTCTTCAACTGACTTTTTAGACTGGCTGAACTTTAAGCATCCTCAGTGTCTCACATTTTACACAGCAGCGGAAGGTCATAATTTCTCAGAACTGGGTATCTGTTTAAGGCACATGTGCCGAGTTTCCATAGTTGTAATCCAAGGTGGGTTTTGTCCTGTTCTGTTTAGGGACGTTTGGAAGGTGGTAATATGTTTTTACTGGGAAAGAACATCAACTTGACGTCTAGTGATTGAGACAAAGTCCATCTTGTTTTTTTCTTACTGTTCCCTTTCCTGCCTCAAGTTTTACTCCATTTCAGTTTGTATCAAATAAGAAATAAAAAAGAAACCAGAAGAAGGAAGTATTTTTTGAAAAAAAAAAAAAAAAAAAAAGAAAAAGGAGATGCAACAAATGAAAATTGTAAAAGACATCCTTATGGTAAACTTGTGTTCCTTGAATGACCTAACACCACACAAAAGCTGATATAACTTATGATTTACCCCATACTTATGACTGAGAATTCATTTTAAGCACAAATAATACAAAATTTTAAAATGCAGAGACAATAAAGATACTTTCTTAGCTACAGATATTTTCTTAGCTAATAACAGTAAACCGACAGAGCAGTATTCATTTGCTTACATTAATAAAGATGTAAAGATCTTACAAGTGAACTGTCTGTAAATTCTTATACACACTAGTTCCTTTAAACCCTGACAGGAAAAACATCGCTGATTAATAGCAACTACAGTTACAATGAAGGAAGCAGAGATTGAAAGGCTTGATTTCATTCATAATTTAAAATCTTTCAACTAAGGTTATTATCCATGAAATAAATTATTAAAATATATATATCTATATATCTATATATATCTATCAGTACTATTCAAGATTTGTATTTAGACTTCAAAAAGCAGGCACTGGTGAGAGAAGAATGAACCCATGTCTGATAATATATATCAGAAAGACAAATAAAACCCCAAACCATATCTGTGACCTTATTATGCTGAGAATACTGGGCATAATTCTGAGACGCGCTGAGGGTTCTAGCTTTCAGCAATCAAATTGCCACTACTTCCAAGTCACTGGGATCACAAATACTAAGCAAGGACTTAGAAGTGCTTTCCTTTGCAGGATAGGGGCCAGAGTGCTCAAGAAAAGATACAAAGCCCTCCCATGAGTAAGTCTCCTCGCCTGGAACAGGAGCTACCCACAGATCTCATGCACCACCAAGAGAACATGACCCTTCACACCTCTCCATCAAACACACACATACATTCCTTTCAGAAATCATCTTTAAACTGGCTTGCTATGGGTTGCTACTGTAGTACCTTTTTCTATCCTGGATGAAATACAAAACTAAGAATTCCTCTGAATGCCACAACTAATGCATTTTATACTAGGTCAAGAAATGCAGAAATGCAGAGTTCAACTCAGCATTTTAATTCAGAAAGCTTCCTGTTTTACTGCTTTAATTCAAATGAATCACAGGCTTGCTTCTCTTATTTGCTTTCCATATAGTTTCATAATAAGTAGGATATATATTGCTCACCAGAAGGAAAAAAACACACCCTGAAAAACAGAAGTAAAAGTGCGTAGGAGTAATTAATTATATTTCTTTGCATTAGTTTAAACCTTCACATCATGCTGCAAAGCACATTAAGTTTTAGCACCAGAGAGTAAGAATTTGGATCTCCTGGCAGATTGATGCAGTGATGCCACAGTGCAAACAGAACTCTGTTACTGCTATACTCTACCATTAACAGCAATTAATTTATGTGTAGCTTTACTAGAGATAGCTGAAGTGGGGAAGAATGTGGTTCAAGCAGGACAATTTTATAGATACTCAGGAAAAATGAGTGCAGTTTTGAACTCTTGCAAAAATACTCATTTTGTATAGCCTTGAGCAAGTCAGTCTCCCCGTGCCTCGTGTTTTCCCAGGGGTAAACAGGACACAGGGGAATCTTTTGTCATTATGTTTATATAATACTCAACACCATGGTTTCCTAGTGTACTACTGGAACACAATTAATCATCATAAATGTCCACCTTAGAGGACTAGAAGAGAAAGGAAGGGGAGAAAAAAGTATTGCGACCAAGACAGTGCAAGCAGCTCGAGTCTGGCTTCCACAGACAGACGTGGATGAAGGAGGTTAAACATTGCTGCACAGTATACGTCTGGTAGAAAGAATAACAAAGGTGATAAAAAAAGGAAACCAACTTTTAAGTTACACATTTCCTACACCCTGACCATGCAAGCACATTTTTAGTTCAAAGTTCCTTGCAATTAGCTGAATAGCTTCAAAGAAACGCTCCTTTTGGGCAAATACATAACCTATTCAGAAAACAACACTACTGGTGGCTTGCAAAAATAAGTTACTAAGCAGAAGTAAAGAAAGAGACAGAAAGCCTTGGCAGTTTGAAAATGCACTCTCCACAGTTTGTATCGCATACATTCATCCATCACTCAAATTTCATCAGTCTTCGCAGAAGATAGTGTTTCTGATCTCTCACTTTTCCTTGCACCT